TTACGCGATTTAATATTGTAGCGAGATCGCGTGGATTGTATAGGACCAAACGCTCAAGGTCGTTCGCTAGGAGTAGCGCCTCAACGAAATATAGTACTTAAACTAGTCATCAATTTCGTCATGACATTTTCTGCTGCTGAAGACTTTAACTCCTGTAAAAACTGTGATGTAAAGGTAGTATAAAATTTAACAACTCCAGTAAGTCTTCCTTTTTCTCATCACTGATGACATGGCCTCAGGATATAAAATATTTAGGTTTTCAATGGTGGTCCTCCAGCGATTCTGCTATAAGTTCTATAAAAGTTAAAGTTACAGCCTATATACGTCCCACTGCTGGGCACAGGACTCCTCTTATTTTGTTAAAACCGTCTGTCTAGTCATCACAGAGAACATCTTCCAATGCAGCGGTGAAGAGTTTCGTGGATATAAGGTCATCCTGTCTTTCACGTTTCTGTGGTTGTATAGTTTTCGTACTCTGGTTTTGCCCTGGGATAGCCATCGTAGCCCTAATGTACTGATTTGGGAGAAGAAACAGTAACGGTATTTTCAACTTTTTTGGGGCTTTTTACCGTCTTCAAAAAGGAGGCATTCAATTCGACTGTATTTTTTCAATGTGTGTTACCAAATAACTTTTCTCTGAGTGAACCGATTTTGATGATTCTTTTTTAATCTGAAAGCTGGTGCTTCTCGTGTCGCGCCATATTTAATCAAGATTTGACCAGTACCTAGTTTTGAGTTATCTTTAAAAATGCGCATTTAACTAACTGACTTTGAATACATTTTTTAGACTGAATACATAGATTAGGTCGTAGTGAAGTCGTTACTTATATCTTTAAAGTTATGCCAGGCCAATCGCTCCTTTGATTAGAAACTCAGTTCTTAGGATTTGTGACTAATAGCTCATAAATATCTTAGCGACAACTGATGCTGGTTTCGACAGTATACATTACACAGTTCATTTTTTTTTAAATGAAACACTTTCTTATAATGTAACTAGCTTTGTTATCTACGAATTAGTTATTTTGTTTGTTTTATAGATGAAGGTTGACAAACGAGTACACAGTTCATCTGATGGTAAGTGGATGCTGTGGCCCATAGACATTCACATCTATCCTCGAAAATAAGAATTAAAAGAGACATTAGGTGTAGATGTCCATGGCCCCCAGTATCCACTAATCAGTCACTAGTCAGTTGGACAGTGTGCAACGAGCATGCATACAGTCCACGTGGTGGTGTATGTCAACCTTATTCTATAAAAATGTATGTTTGCAAAAATAAATGTATGAAAACTATTCAATCTATCAAATCAGAAGATCGAGGTATAATATAACGATAACGATTCCAATAAAAATAAATCGCCAAATAATCAAGAACTTTTAGTCAGGCTACAAGTCTGGATAATTTATAATGTTATATAATATCATATTAAAATATGTAAAAACGAGTTATAAGTAGTTTTATATTATATTTATTGGATATACGCAATGTTATTTATTTAAGAATAATGTAAAACATATTTTTGTAATGGTTGTTAATTTTTAGTTGTTGTTAAGGTTATATCACAAAGTTGTATAATTTTTATGAATAAATTTATTAGAGAGTTGTGCTATTTTCTTTTATACTATATTTTCGACATTTTTAACCCATACGTACTTATATTAGACCTGTGCCAGATTACCATACCTTTATTCTTACCGTGTAGTGACGATATTGTTCCGTGGGAGTCGTAAGAAACCATAGAAGAAAGTTAAACCTGGAGATGGACAGCGGCAAATACCTAATAAAATACAGATGAATAAAAATATAAACTGCGGTTGCCAACTCGCTTGCCAAGCGTAGCAAATATCCCATATCTTCTCGACTGTCCAAAACCTTCTAAAAGTCGCTATTAAAAAGTACGCTCAAAAAAAATGTACGCAGAGTTGTGTTTTTTATTATTTATTGTAAAGTGTATTTATCTTATTGTAAATAAAATAAATATTTATTTAAATAATTGTTTCTTTTTTTACATTTTTTATTCACCAAACTGGAAAAAAATCGCTTTTAGCATTTTTACCATGGAATTTAGATAATTTAAAAAAGTTAAATGTACCCATTCATACATATTCTATTAGCTTACTTAACAATAATTCTAACAACATATTATTTTATAGAGTTTCCATTCATAATTATTAAGATATTGCCATTTTAATGACATGCGCCACGTATGCAATAGATCACTCGTTTAGGGTTGGACAGTATGCGCCAAAGCGACCATTTGGGCCGGGACAGTTGAGAGGATAAGTCGCAATTTGACACAATGATATAATGGCTTTAATTATGATATATTGTACCTTCCGATGGAAGACGATATAATCATCTATTTCAATACTGGATGTGGAATCTGCAGATTGCCGATGGAGTGGCGAGAAAGAGAAGAGATCGTTGGTACTGCTATTTATTTATTTAAAAACTTACATGTAACACCTTAAGCTAAAGAGTACATAGGGCGGACTTGAATTCTCTGCCAGTTAACCCTGGGTGCCAAGGACAATTGTTGGCAGGTGCGACCATTATACATAAATAAGTGCATATACATTAAAATATACATATATGCAAAGTACATACATACACAATACATATATATATATATATATATATATATATATATATATACATGCTTATAAACTTCGTAAATAAATATCCAAATGAATGATATATATATTATAATGTTTGAATAATATATAATGAAATAAATATTTGAAGTAAAAAAAAGAAAAGAAAGACAAGAATTAAGGAAAAATAATGTCAATTAGTAGTTGCCTTCTGGTAATGTTCTCGGAGAAGAACTTTGAAAACTTTTTTATTTGTGGCATTCTTAATATCGATGGGGAGGGTGTTCCAAAGTTGTATAGCTTGTATCATAAAAGACCACCTAAAAAAAATTGACTTATGCTGTGGAAACCTTAACCTCAGACGGTTTGACTGTCGGTATGTTCGATCGTCGATCGGATGAAAAAAAAATGAAAATTATCCTTAAGATAAGAAGGCGACCTTGGATCTTTTAAAGTTGAATAAAGTACAAGTAAAATTCTAGAGCATCGCCTTTGACGTATAGGTAGCCATTTAAGCTTTGAACGATAGGATGATATGTGGTCATACTTACGTAAACCAAAAATAAACCTTATGGAATTATTAAGATGGCGCTCCAACTTGTTTAGAAGATTTTCTGACAGATCTGGGTAACATCGGCAAAGTCGATAATAGGTAGAATAAGGGAATGAACCAGCGTAAGTTTGGTTTTGAAGGTAGGAAATTTTTAAGACGATAAAGGGAACGCAAGGTAGCAACAACTTTACGACTAACTTCGGAGATCTGCAATTTTCAGGTCATAGTTTTATCCATGTACAGGACAAGATTCTTTATGGAATCACAATATGGAATCAAACTTCCATTATAAATTACAGGAGAGAGATTTCCATAATCAACCTTAGCCAATAATTGCGAACTTCCGAATATTATAACTTTGCATTTGGCAGTGTGGCCGGTGAGGAAGGAAAAGAGGAGATCTCCCGCCGGGCAAGGTGTTCTACCCGGGGAGCGGCTAACACTCCGGGTGATAGTTCGGAGAAGTTCTATATATACTGTCTATGATTCGGAATGTTGATAGCGTGATTTAAGCTTCGGTGTATTTCGCTTGTGGCGCGACGACAGCGCCGCTACATCACCCCCTGCTCAGACCGGAGGTCGATAGTGCAGCCTCGTTGCGGACGAATTTGCAAGTGCCAGGAGATTGCCTTGTAGTCTGCGGTGAGACGAGAAGAAGGCAAGTAATCTGCGAGAGTGCCGTGAAGCAGAGGCGAGCAGTAAGGCTCAGAGCCGTGTCGAACACTGTATAGCGCAGAGAGTAGCTTGAAGGAACAGGAAGTATTATTATTCCAGTGCTGCGATGAACATTGTGAAGCTAGATGGCTTGCAGGATATGAAGACTGCAGTTTATATCTGCTCGGGGGCGAATGGGTTGGGTATTCTATGACGATGATGAAGCTTGAAGTTTCCGAAGGTTGTTTGGTTGCGTGTTCAGATCACGTCGGTTAGTCACCACTGTGGCCGGTGAGGAAGGAAAAGAGGAGATCTCCCGCCGGGCAAGGTGTTCTACCCGGGGAGCGGCTAACACTCCGGGTGATAGTTCGGAGATGTTCTATATATACTGTCTATGATTCGGAATGTTGATAGCGTGATTTAAGCTTCGGTGTATTTCGCTTGTGGCGCGACGACAGCGCCGCTACAGCAGGATTAACAGAAACGCCATATTTACATGACCATTCTCTTATGGCTTCCAGGTTATCATTTAGTTTGTGTATTACAAAGTTAAGATTATTTAAGCTTGACTGTACATAGAGCTGGAGATCATCCGCATACAGATGGTACGAACAATCTAAAAGTGAGGAGATAGAATTTATAAATAAGGAAAACATAATAGGAGAAAGTATTCCGCCTTGCGGCACACCAGATTCATTTTCAGCCCATGCAGAAAACCGCTGACCTGAGCGAACTGATTGCTGGCGACCGCGAATGTAAGAAGAAAACCATTCCAAAGCTGGGAATGAAAATTTAAGGTGTTTAAGGATGGATACCATGATCCACTGTGTTGAAAGCGTTTGAAAAGTCAATAAGCACCACCACTGTTAATTTCTGCTCATCTAAGCCCTTTCTTATATCGTCCGTGACTTTGATAAGCGAAGTGGTAGTACTGTGACCAGAGCGAAACCCCGACTGAAATTCATTCAGCAGATTATGTTTTGCAATGTGTGTGCAGTGCACCAATCCGCCTGTCAATCTCACTCTCTGAGAGGCACTTGGCAAGCAGAGGATAGGTTTGCTATACGATAATGAGGAAGTAAAGTACTTTATAAATTGATTCTTCCTTTCTCCTTTTCAAAGAGATAGCACAAGATTTGTCTTAATTATTATTTTATTTATATTGGTTTTTTTTCAAAGATCATCGAATTTAAAAAAAATTATTTAATGTAAGCAACGCCGGCCTCCTTGTATAACTCGTTCCAAAACTTCGTACGATCCTTATCTGCAAATTTTGCCATCGCCATTTCCTCTTCTAGCTTCAAATACTCCTTTCCAGTTGCAGTATATGGGAGCCATTCAACCTCCATGCAATGATTTGGTGTGGGGTTACTGTGAATAATATGGGTTTCATTAAAATAATCAAAGCTAATAAGTCTCAACGTAATTAAACATAGGCGCTACACCATTGAGCAAGCGTATAGCTTCAAATGTTCGCCCGACCTTATTCTGAGCCAACTCGTGCAGGCCATAAACCGAATTCCGTTTTATGGCCTACACGAGTTGTGGCACGGCGAGCACTGAGATACGCTTAGAGCCAGCAAAAAGACTTAAGATACACAACTGCAAATATTTTTTAATGAAATTAGGGTCTACCCACACGTATCACAACCACAACACGTGGGCAGGCGCATTTTGTGTTGGAAATGAATAGTACAATTTACATATATCACATTTTGCCGTCATTATCGACTGCGTGAGTGATACCAGGTACCACACAACCATTACGAAACTAAGGAATTAGCGGCCGCTACTAGCGACAACGCGACCACATCGACATTTGTCGCAAAACCACAACGCAACTGCAAAAAGCTGCAGCGAACTTTAGACGTGACCACATTGTACTCAGCTCATAACCATTTAAAATTACATTAGTATTAACATGTTTGACATTTGCCGTTATACATACATTTAGTTTTAGTGCCATTTAAATGCAAAGTATTAACATTAAACCAATTTAGTTAATTATTTAAGAATGCCGATTCAAAATGCCGATGGGTTGTCACCCCCAAGGACTAAGATGGAATACCTCGTTTCCAGTAAAAAGGGCCTCAGGTTCTCTACACTCACCATAGGAAACTTTAAGCTGCTATTTTACGCTGGTATTCTGTGAGAGAGTGGTCCTACCTCGGTCGAGCCGACCCATTCGTGCTACAACCACCATATAGCTGCAGCATAGCTCTACCACATTTCAACATAATTTAGGTTATAGATTTTTGAGTAAATCTAAGATTTTTGATAGAAATAGGAATGTAAATCTACCGGATGATTAATTAATGATCCATATATCAAAATTTGTCCTGACAAACAAAGTATATAAAAATAACATGAATACATAGCATATGTGCCCGAGTGAATACGCCACGCCGTTCCAATCAGCACTGGCTAACTAAAGTTTTTCATTATTATTACAGCCACAAAACACGTTCCTGAGCCCCCCTACATCCATTGACTTAATGCATATTTTACCAGGAAGTCACTTCATCTAGTGAGGGGGCGCCCTACACTTTACTTACCGGTACGATTACAGTTTGTATTATTTACTGGCATTATATTTTCATCATTTTTTACTTACCCAGTTTTAGCGAAATTAGTCCACAGCGTTGTTATTTTAAGCGCCAATTCTCTTAATTTTGCTTGTTCGTCGTACGGTTTCTTGTTCAAAAAGTTATAAAACATATAGAAAAGTTCGTCGGCATGGCTCGCTCCCTTCAAGTGGCCAAATCCTGTGTCATTCTTAACAATGTTTAAATCTGTGTCGTAATTAAACCGGTACATGTAGATCGGCTGGCAAGAAGTGCTGTACAGATTGGTGAACCTGCGTGTGTTGTAGAAGAAATGGATGTCACTGCCAATTTTTTCAATTATCTCGGGATCGTCTTTAGTTAAATTTCGGCCACCTACGTAAAATTGTTTCACTCTGTCACCGAACTCTTTCAGTTTCTCTTCCCCTATATTCGCTGCTAGTTCTTTGGTGACGAAATAGGATGGATGCTTATTATAAACGTCCAGTTTTTCTGTGAGATAATTTATTAGTACTAAATCTTCGGCAGAATTGTAACCAATCATTAGCGGCACCTCGGCCACTTTACCTTTTAATAGCAAATCGATTGGTTCCTCGTCCATAAAAGCCTCTACTCCATCAAACTTTTTTTCAACGACCGGGATAAAGTACTCAGGTAGTCCTCGGTATGTCTCATCGTACGTCATTGTTTTTTGTGCAAGGTTTGTTAATAGCGTTGGCTTCAAACTACGTAGAAACTCCAATAGCTCATTAGTGTCGTTTGTTTCTTTACCTAAAAGTTTTCCCGCTCGAAAAGCCCGCTCTTTTGCGTTCCTGTCGATCGCCCAGTCGTGTATGCATGTGCCGCTTTGAACAATCGCTTTGTTAAACAATCCTTTGGACATAGGTGATAACATATGAGACGTGACAGAGCTAGCTCCTGAACTTTCTCCAAATATAGTGATGTTATCTGGGTCACCACCAAACCGAGCTATGTTGTTTTTAACCCATCTCAATGCGGCAGATTGGTCTTTCATGCCGGCATTGCCTGGAACCTCGGGCGTATCGAGGCATAGGTATCCCAGGAGTTCCAAACGGTAGTTTAAGGTTACTAATATAACATCGTGTCGCACCAACAAATCCGGGCTGAACGTTTCCGAGTTGCCAGAGTTGTAACTATAACTGCCACCGTGGATGAATACCATGACTGGAATTTTGGCGTCAGGTCTTAATGATTTTGTGTAAACATTTACAAAGAGACACTCCTCACTGCCTTCAATCAGTTTTGAAATACTTAAATCGTATTGAGTACAAATGGGGCCATGTTCGATTGCATCGCGAATGCCTTCCCACGGTTTTGTTGGTAGTGGTGCCTAGAAATTAGAAATGTCTTTTATCTAATGATATATTTAATTAGGTCGTAGGTATTACGTGTTAGTTTAGAAGCTTCAGTACTCATCTCGAATTTAATCGCAGCCGTAACAATTAATGAATGCATCTACATATTCTCTCTTCGCAATGGTACCTAACGTAACAGAGTTTGTGGTTCTTGATATATGAAAGAAAACCTGTACACAGCACGAATTACATTTTTACGTGCTGTTTTGTCACGTGCTTGGCAATGAGTTATACTGGGAGGAAATCGAATGATTGAGAAATAAAAACATAACGAGTCAGCAAGCACTACCACTAAACTTTTAGAAATTAGAAATCTAAGCCCAACATTAGGTCTTAAATAGGCTGCAACTTTACTATTAGGCTCTTGTATTTGAACAATATACCTACTCTAAGCTCTAGGTTTAAACCCCGCCGAATACTTTACAAGCGCAATTCTATCTTGCTGATTACAAGGAAGGATTGGGTCTTTCCTTCAATTTTTTATAAAATAGAGAATAGGGTGACAAACGAGCACACAGTCTCACCTTCACCTGATGGTAAGATAATGCTGTGACCCATAGATATCTACACATTTATCCTCGATTAAGAATTAAATTGCAGATGCGTTGTCACCCCTGAGGACTAAGATTGAATGCCTCGTATCCAGTAAAAAGCTAAAAAGGGTCTCCGGTCCCATACACTCACAATTTGAAACATAGCAGCATTAAGCTGCTATTTTAAGCTGTTATTCAGTTACTATAAAAACTTAAGATTGGAATTTACATGTAATTTTTTTATGCCTTGTAGCTCAAGCTTCATATTGCGGTGTATTTTCAAACTAGTATTAGGAGTAAGAGAATCCACCAACCCATATGATACCTCGTGAGTCACGACACAGAGAAATGAAACAGGAGGTGGGCAAGAGCATCTTCCTGATAACAATTCAAATTAATTAATGATTTCAGGTGGCAACGACGCCAAATATCCCCCTATGAACCAATTTATGGTGAAAGCGTATGTTCAGCAGTGAACTTTTGATCTGTTGACTTGGCTGTAATAAAGATGATGAATACTACTACGGGTTGATGAAGAAGCAGCAATATATTCCGAGACACTTATGTGCGTAAATCAAAGGTTAGCAATTCCGCCTTACCAAACAAATGCGCGTTCGAGAGATTAATTTGTGAACTTCTTTTAAAACAAGACTATATATATGACTATAAAGACTATGTATGTATGTACCTATGTATGTATACACTTAATAGGTTGAGAATGTATTGACATACGTATATTTATAAGATAATAAAGCCATATATTTTTATAAGATCATAAAGCAAGTTTACACCTGCCACAATATCTCACCACGTTACAGGTTGACTGGCAGAGAATGCCAACGGGCGTTATTTCCGCCTATTGTTACCGTAGATGTAAGGTGATACAATTTATTATATATATATATATTTATATAAATTATAAAAAATGGGAAGTATTTACCTGAAACCTTAGTTTGCCAAGAGGCGCCTGTGCATACGGGATCCCTTTAAAACTGTAGTATTTAGATCCATCTAACAAGGTACCCACGGCACCTCTAAGTTTGCCTTCTGTCACTGTTACTATTGGATTATCCTAAAATAAAAGAAACAACTTTTATATAACATGAGAATTGTTATTAAAATTACCTGAGAATTCTTTAGCACTTCACTCATCATTAGCTTCAGTCGACTGCGTGACGTAGGGTCAGAATATTTGACTACAAAGAATAAGCGGATCCTAGGTTCCAACTTTAACCAAAGACTACGCATCATGTGAATTAACATAAGTACCTAATTGGAAGAATAATTTTGGTTTCCAGGTACAGACGTATTTATATAATTACTAATAATTCTAGTATATTATATACCACAAACCCAAAAAACCTAATAGCTTCTGATGGATGGTGGTATACCCATCTCGTTTATGCTAGACGTAAAATATCTAGTCCAGTGTCATAGGAGCGAGACGTTTGGTATGTTAAACGCGCAAACTACTTAGTGTCTTCTGGGAATTGAACTGGACTAGATTTAGTCGTCCCCAGCCTTGTTTGACAAAGTCACGATTTCAGGCACAAATTTGTTCCGGTACTTGGAAATGTTTTCCCGAACCCGCGGCCCTGCAGTGGTCAACCAACAAAAACTTTCACGGATATTCATTATTTTATTAAAAAGTAGTGCTATACTTAGAATAAATTTATTCAGACTGGCAAGATTGTATTAAATACAATCAAGCAGCAAAATAATGCATGTTTAATAATATTCTTAAATATTTTAGGTATTCCTATGGTAGAAATGTGATAAGAAAATCGATAATTGAATAAGAATAAATTTATTCAGACTTGCAAAATAATGCATGTTTAATAATATTCTTAAATATTTTAGGTATTCCTATAGTAGAAATGTGATAAGAAAATAGATAATTAGCATTTAAGTTATTTAAAAATATTATAACTTTTAAATGATAACGAGGCATAATATCTTAGTCTTCAGGGGTTGACAACGCACGTGCGTTTTGATTGTTTAAAGGATAGTTTTAAATATATATAGACTACTGCATCCACGTACGAGTACGATAAAGTGGACTACGTGTCCGTTTGTCACACTTCTTGAAAAAAAAACTTACTAATTTATTACACACTAATTTTATTATTTACTAATTTTCTACGCTTTATCTAAAAGTGACCACTGCAAATATTTATAATTTAATATCTAATGTGTAATTAAGCGAAACAAATTTGCTTACTAATTAGATGGTAATTAAGAGCCAATAACTATCACGTCTCCCGTGAAACAATTAGGGGTTACAATGTTATTATTGCTTTAGTTGACTTAAACTTATATACAGGGTTATTTTTAAAGAGTAGCCAAGTTATTAACTTAAGTACAAATACATATTTAATGATATACCGTTATTGCAATTTTGAAAATACAACTAAATAAGGCTTCCACTTTTATTTGAAAATATCCCAAACTGAATGTGATATATGGGCAACAACGTTACTACCGCACGACCCTCGAATGTTTGCGTGCGCAGTAAAATCAGTTAAGATACTGCATTACCACGCATTTTGAATTTATGAGATAAAAGTATAGAATGTTTGAGATTTTTTTAAATAAATTTTTCTTCACCATATGCCTTTATTACATATTCTGAACGACCTCTGCAAATTTGGCCGATTATTGCAAAATAACCATGTATTAATTTTTTTAGTTTAATTTTTTTTGTATTCTTTATGTATCAAGTCTATTATTGTAGTTTCTCATTGTATTCTACGTCTATTTTATCTCTATAAGTATAGGTAAAGGATGCATTAAGCACTAAATACGCCTATACACATAATTATAATTATAGTTGAGTAAGTAATGAATGGAGTATTTTTCCATTGCATTTTTCACGAAGAGTACTAAGACAAATAATTTGGATTAATTCCAGCCATCAAACTCCACCCGCGAACATCGGGACAAAACTCACGGTACCATCCATACTATCTGGATGCTTGGCGGTCCACAATAACTATGTGAATTACTATAAGTTTTCTTGCTCGCCAAACTTCTTTGTGGAAACATCTACCACCGGCGATTTTTCCCGACCGATACGACTTAGAGACCTTCAAGAAACGAGTTTACTCCTTTGCAACTTTCCTGGTCTTGCAGATGTTCATGTTCATGTTCTTGCAGTTGACACTTACAATCATAAAAATTTGATATAATGTGGGCAAAAACGTGGGATGCAATGCTAGTAAAATATAAAAATCCAGCAATCAAGAGCATAGATAATATAATCTATATAGGAGACTGTATAGGGCAATCAAGAGTAAAGTAATCAAAGGCATTCAAATATAAACGAGCAAAGAGTAATCAAGGCTAGAGAAGTTTTTCGGGACACTGAACTGATATACATTTTAAAACACTATAATTTAAAAAAAACTACCTACATACTATAATAAGATTCATTGAAAATAATTTCCTAAGTACTGTTTATAAGTATTTTTATTAAATGATTACCTTGTTTTTGTAAATACGATTTAAACAGTCTAAAATAAACTTACTCCAATGTGTTTCCTGTTTACTCTTCCGCTTGAACAATATTCTGTGAGTAAACACACTATGAGGGCACCTAAAATGTCCTTGTGACTCACCATCGCAATAAATTTGTAAGCTCGCACGAAACACCTTACTGCTCTGCTCTGATTTCCTCACTGACTGAACTGTGAGCCGTGAGTACTGACTACTAGTACAGATTATATTATAGTACTACGTACTCGTACATATTTTTTTTTAAAGAAGAGGGGGCAGACAAGCATGCGGCTCACCTGATGGTAAGTGACTACCGCCGCTCATGATCAACCGCAACACCATGGCAATTGCAGGTGCGTTGCCGGCCCTTTAAAAAGGACCAACCTCTTTTCTTTAAGGTCCCCAGTTCGTATCGGTCCGGAAAAATCGCCGGTGGTAAACTATTCCACAGAGAGGTCGTACGCGGATGAAAATTTCTTGTGAAACGTACAGCGGTGAACCGCCAAGCATCCAGATGATGTGGATGGTATCGGGACGTTTGTCGCGTAGTGCGTTCACGAAATTTGGCGGCTGGGATTAATCCGAACAATTCCTTAGAGCACTCTCCCCGTGGTATATGCGAAAGAAAATGCAAAGTGATGCAACATCTCTTCGCAGCGTCCGTGAATCGATCAGTGAAGTGATTTTGTGTATTAAATATCTACGTGTGTATAAAATATCTATGTATGTAAAATATTTTGCGCTGCTTCCCGTCGCTGGTCTTAGTATTTTACGCCTGGCATATATAAGATGATCGGATACTGCCATCTATGGGAAACCTTAAGATTTTTTAAACTATCGCATAGTCATATCGCATTGTCGCTTCTTACGACATCCAAGGGGTGAATTGGTCGATGGATTCTACTACACAAATAATAAAGTAATAGTAAGTTTTGTACACCGCCATCACACTGCATGCACTTCACATATTTGCTAAATAAGTTCATTTTGTTATTCGGAAATGCAGAAGAGAAAAACGTACAAATTTAAAAAATATATTTTATTAAATATATATTTAACATTAACAATCGTCAACAATATGAGGCACGGCCGATTCTTTATACAGTTCGTTCCAAAAACGCATTCGCTCTCCGTTGGCGTAGTTCCCAACCGACATGTTATCTTCTACCTTCAAGTATTCTTTTCCACATCTCGTATAATGAAGCCATTTTGTTTCCAAGCTGTTGTCTGGGGTTGGATCCCTGTAATTTAAAAAAATATCACGAAAATCATATAATATGCTGTGTTTAATTATATCTTAATATATATATGTAAGTTACGTGCCATGTTGTTTGTCCGCGATGGACTCCTAAACTACTTAACCGGTTTTGATCAAATTTGCATACCGTGTGCAGTTTGGTCCAACTTGAGAGATAGGATAGTTTTTTTGTCCATGAGAGACTCACAATTTATTTTTGCAAATTTAAGGATTTTTCATGGGACATGTCCTATGAAAAATCCTTAAATTAAAAATTGTCATGACAAAGGATCGTCGAAAAGTCTGCCTGGCAAGTTAGTATAAGTTTACATTGTGCATGTCTTTAAACATATAAATAAAACTAGTCTGTGCGTAATATTGAAAAATTGACTTTTATCGAGATCAAGGCCTTAATCGTAGGTCATTAACATTGGAAAAACCATTTATAAAATTCCTATCCTATCGTACCGCTGAGGGAACAGATCTCATAATTCTGAAAGGGTAATCAAGCGTGTTGACGAACTTCACATGTCCTATAAATATTGTTGTATTGTAATCGTCTATTTGTATCTTTCCACTGAAGTATACTATCAGTTATAATAACAAATGACTCAATTAAACCTATGAGTCAATAAAATATCAGACGGCACAAATGTTGGCTTCGTGCCGTGTCTTCCACTTATTTTCCTCATACGACCGTCGTCACTATAAGGAAAATGAATTTAAAAGCATACGCTACGCTAGTATATTGTACGATTACATTCAAATGAAAAAATTATAGCAATTTAGTTCACTTTATCAGTCATTATTATTTATATTATTCTTGCTTTTGTTTCGTTATTTCTATATGGGTGTAAAATGTATTTTTTTAAATACACTAAAGGTATATACGTCGTAGAGCCACATTGCAGATATATTATGGTTGTAGCATGAATGGCTTGGCTCCACCGGGGAAGGACCACGCCCTCACAGAATAAATTCCATAATTCTCAAAATCTACCACATTATTGCGCTAGTATAAATGAAAAATGTTAAAGTCCGGGCTTCAACATTTTATCATTGGTTCCACCAATAATGAACATAATTTTTTTATAATACAATAGTTTGCAAATTAACAGAAATTTTGGAGAAGCAATTTTTCGACTAAACATTTAAGGATGTCCAATTGTGCAGTGCTGTGTTATTAACTCATCAGAAGTCCTCTCTCCTTACACATGACTTCTGCACACTCCGGAGAAGACATAACATCCTACAATATCTCACACTTTAAAATCAAATAGTTTAAGCAAACAATCCACCAAGGAACTGATAATAAATGTTAGTACCTAATTAAAAATATGTATAATACATAAATACTCCCGTAAAACACAGGACATCCACCATTTTTTACCTAATCGTACCAAAAGGTACGATTAGGTAAAAAATGGTGGATTTTTCAAATATTCGAAACGAAAATGTTCAACCACGTATGCACACATACTACGGCTACACATAACAATGGGGATTAGTACAATATAAACATTACTTATTACTTACCCAGTTTTAGCGAAATTAGTCCATAAAGTAGTGACTTTAAGCGCAATTTCTCTAAGTTTCCTTTGTTCGTTATATGGTTTCTTATTTAAAAAGTTGTAAAACAAGTAAAAGAGTTCATCTCCATGGCTCGCACCTTTCAATCCCGAAAACCCTGAGAACTTCTTTAGAATGTTTAAGTCGGTGTCATAATTAAACCTATACATGTATACAGGTTGACCCGACGCACTATATAGGTGAGCGAAACGATGAGTATTGTAAAAGAAATGTATATCACTACCAATACGTTCGATTGTTTGCGGATCGTCTTTCGTTAGGTTTTTGTTGTTCAAATAAATTTGTTTCACCCTATCTCCAAATTCTTTCAGCTTTTCATTTGATACCTTTTCTGCTATCTCTCTTTGGATATGATAGGATGGATTCTCATTATAAAAGTCAAGTTTTGGCAGGAGGAAAGAGATCAACGCTAAACCTTCAGCTGAATTGTAACCTATCATAAGTGGCACCTTATTTGTTTTACCTTTAGCAAGTAAATTCACAGGTTCTTCATCTATAAAAGCCTTGACGCTTTTGAATTTCTTCTCTACAACTGGAACGAAATAATCAGGTAACCCTCTGTAAGTTTCTTCCGTTGTCATAGTTTTTTGGGCAAGGTTGGTAAGGAGAGTTGGTTTGAGCCCGCGCAAAAATTGTAACAATTCATTTGTATCGTTCGTTTCTTTGCCTAAAAGTTTTCCTGCTCTAAAAGCTCTTTCCTTAGCATTCCTGTCGTTGGCCCAGTCTTGAATACACGTGCCACTTTCCGCAATCGCTCTGTTGAACAAACCTTTGGACATCGGGGAGAGTAAATGAGAAGTGACTGAGCTTGCACCCGAACTTTCTCCGAAAATTGTTATACTGTTGGGATTTCCACCAAATTGCGCTATATTATTTTTAATCCAACGGAGAGCAGCGACTTGGTCTTTCATTCCAGCATTACCTGGAACCTCAGGCGTGTCTAAAGATAGGTACCCCAATAACTCCAGACGATAGTTCATCGTCACCAATATGACGTTATGTGGCAGTAGTAAGTCCGGACTGAACGTTTGGGAATTGCCCGAGTTAAAACTGTAACTTCCACCATGAATGAACACCATGACTGGAATCTTTGCATCACAGCGTAAAGACTTTGTGTAGATGTTTACGAATAGACAGTCTTCACTGCCTTCTACGATTTGTGATATGGATAAGTCGTACTGGGTGCAAACGGGTCCATGTTCAGTTGCGTTGCGAATTCCTTTCCATGGTTTTGGTGCTAGAGGAGCCTGGAAGATTTACTCGTATTAGAATATGAAAGCGATGAAGCGAAATAAATTAACATTTAACTGCGCCCTGTTTCAGAATGTTATATTACTAAGTCTCTATTATTATAAACAAACTTATTTGTAGCACATGACTAGCCTTATTAATTTGTCCATGTTGGTACCGTGTAGACACACAGTAAGGCTTTACTCGTGTGATGTAGAGGCGGTGTAAGAATATCCAATTCCCGATATCGGCTTTTATAGACTATAATGGATGTTGTTCTGGGATTCATAGATCTCACGTTTATGTGAGACTTAGTAACAAAAAAGAATGTGCTAAATGAGTTATTTGTCTAGCATATCGCAAAAGGCGACTGATAGGATACTAAGTTTGTGGTCGTGTAGGTGATAGACTAGCCACTATCACTTTTCCCAATTTTCCATCTTAACCCATCTCTCTCATCATCACCCAGCTCTTTGGAGTCTGCCTCCCTCACGGAGATTACAGGCGTGATGTATATATGATGTATAGCCTATGATGTGCAGACATTTCAGTCACTTCATTTAGTGGCTGCTCTGCACCGCGCTTGCCAGTAACAGACTGCTGCTAGATAATCTGTTTGATTGTCAGTTCTTCGAGGTAATGAACCAGCCGGTATATTGATTTATATTTTTGTTACTCTGATTTTATAGAAACTCACAACGTAGACCTTCCCATAGCAACTTTACGACTATGAACGTTTTTGCACTGCCAGCAGTGGAAGAATATGATTATCGATTGATTTTGAAGAGATAATTTTCCAAACGTTGCTGAACCTCCCATACTGCGATTTGATAATCTATACATATAAATAAATTTGAAGAGTCTGTCTATAGTTATTATTATTTTATTAGTTATTGAAATAACTGATTCATATTAAGCTCATGGAGTATTTGTATGCTATTGAGATATAAATAACTATTTGAAAAAAAAATTGTTTGTCTGGGCTGTCGGTGAGATATAAATAACTATTTGAAAAAAAAAATAGTTTGTCTGGGCTGTCGGTCGGTCTGTCCGGGCTAATTTTCGAAATTACTGAACCGATTGTGACGTAACTTTTCTTTTTTTTTGAAACATCGAAATATTAAAAACAGAAGTGGTCTTTGACGTAATAGCGTCACATTAATAGACACAGGCAAAGTTGTGGCGGATCGCTAGTTATAAATGTTATTACCTGGAACCTCAGTTCACCAAGTGGTGCTAGTGCGTAAGGAACGCCTTTAAAACTGTAGTATTTGGATCCGTCCAAAAGAGTAGCTACAGTCCCTCTTAGTTTGCCCTCTCTTACATTTACAATGGGATCACCCTGAAAAAAAAATGGTTAACATTTAGCCCATCTGCTCAAGTGAGCTTCGATTCATAGTTGTTTGTAATAACACCCGATAAAATGGTTGTTCGCAGAAGTCGTATTAAACGTGGCAGAGTTACGCTGCAGCACGAATTAGTCAGCTCGACCGATGAAGAACCACGCACGCTTAGAAGCAAAAGCAGCAGGTAGTCTATCAAAAGCCTACTGCTGAACGTGGATTTTTACGAAGCAGCGTCACGATGCAACTATACTACGCTCTCACAGATTACCAACGTAAAATAGCAGCCCAATGCTGCTGTGTTTTGTATGATTAACGTAGAGAACCGAAGACCCTTTTTACTGGAAACGAGGCATTCCATCTTAGTCTTCACGGGTGACAACGCATTTTGATTTGTAATCGAGGATAAATGTAGATGTCTATGGCCCCAGTATCCACTTATCATCACGTGGAATGTGTGCTTGTTTGTCATCCTATTCTATAAAAAAATGTATCTTCCCTATAGATTGCTTCACAAGGTGAAAGAAGCCAGAGACGTGTGTCAAGATCATGCCAAGTGGAAATCAATAATCTTTGCCTACCCCTCTGGGTAACAGGCGTGTAAGTTTATATATTATGTATGTAAACTTACTATATCATCTTTTTCACTTCCTAAGCAGCACTCAGATAAGAAACACAAAAGCACTATAAAAACAATGGATTTCATTATTGTATTTAAAATAGGAACTGCACACAATATACTCTGCCGGCAACGGCAGGCGTAATGAAACTACTTGTCTTCTGTCTGTATACTTTTGACGTGCCGATTAATGTTGCCAACAGCATGGTAACGATTTAGTACCGAAACTGTAGGAAGTGAAACAGAGTTTTACGTGGTAGACCCACGCTGCAGGTAAATTATAGTTGTAGCACGAATAGGTCGGCTCGATCGTTGAAGGATCACGCTCTCTCAGAATACCAGATAGCAGCTACAACGTTGCTGTGTTTCGTATGGTGAGGAAAAAGAACCGGGGATCCTTTATGCTGAAAACGAGACATACAAACACACTAAATTTTGATTTTTAATTGAGAAAAAGATATGGATTTCTATGGGGCACAGCATCCACTAACCATCAAGCGGTATGAATACGGTACGCTGTTTATCACCCTTATTCTATAAAAAAGGAAAAAGATTGAAAGCTTTGCGAGAGAAGAATCAGTTTGTGTGGTATGGACTATCAGGACATGCATCACGTTCCGTGGTGCAGGTTGAGTTAGAAGTGGTAAGAATCTCACAAGTAGACTATTTTTGTCCCAGCAGTTACAATTTAACATTTTAAAATTAATATATTAGTCAAAAAGTCTAATGAAGATCATTATGTCCACTTATTCTTCGTATATATAATATCCTTTCTTCATAAGAATTGTCGATTCTAAGGAAATCTTGTTATAGTAGTTATGAATCTACCCAGAAATGAGCCGCTAGTTTTATGGAGTCGTTATTTTTGATGGATTTGTATTTTGGAGTTTGAATTTGTGCTCTGTATGATGACCGAAGAAAAGCTTTGTCCGATAATAGAGAACGAAAGCAGGACCTTTTTACTAAGATGACTAGAGGCTTTGAGGTGAACTTCAGAGTACTACGGAATATTACGCGGATATGGCATGAGTGGCGGAAAGACGTCTAGGGCCGTGCGGAATAGATTTAAATTCATATAATTTAATTATGGTGGCATCAATGGGGAAGAACGGTAGTAGGATTAGTGTTTGTAAGGAGTCAAAGAAAAGCAAAAGGGACAAAGCCTCAAGAAAGTACCGCGTACATTTCAAATTCGCGTACAGTCTCAAGATCCAAATCGTCTAACTGGATGATTGGAAGGAAGGCATTATGTTGATGTTTCAATATGCTATTCGAATGTGATACTTCCTTCTGAGTGAGATTGAGAGGTTCTAGGGGCAGCTGTACACATCGTCGTTGGAGCCACACGCAAGTGTAAGTAACGATCCAAGAGCAAGTCTTATCCGACACTATTCCGATGATATCCCAGACGTCAGTCTGAGCGAGATTAGAATGGCTCTCCAGCACCTTAAAAACGGCAAGTCCCCGGGCGAGGATTGAATTACAGCGGATCTTCTGAAAGCGGGTGGAAAACCGGTACTTGAAGTCCTTCAGAGGCTCTTAAATTCCGTCCTCCATGGTGGCACTACTCCGGAGGCGTGGAGCAGAAATGCGGTGGTCTTGTTCTTCAAGAAAGGTGACAACGCCCTCTTGAAGAACTACAGACCGATATCCCTTCTGAGCTGTGTCTACGTGCTGTTTTCGTGAGTCATTACGAATCGTCTCGCACGCAGACTCGACGACTTCCAACCTCCCGAACAAGCCGGTTTCCGAAAAGGCTTTAGTACCATAGACCACATACATACCCTTCGGCAAATTGTACAGAAGTCCGAAGACTACAATCTGCCAGTCTCTTCAGCGGTGCTAAGTTGACTGTTGGTATATCGAAGTGCTGAAGTGTTTGTACAGTAGGGCTACGATGGCAATCCGAATACAGAACCAGAGTACGAAACCTATCCAACTGCAGAGAGGTGTAAGACAGGGTGACGTTATTTCCCCGAAACTCCTCACCGCTGCATTGAAAGTCAAGGTATTAACATCAATGGCGAGTACATCACTCACCTTCGATTCGCCGACGATATAGTCCTTATGGCAGAATCGCTGGAGGACTTAAGCACTATGCTCAATGACCTCAATAGTGCCTCCCAACGGACAGTTCTTAAGATGAACATGGACAAAACAAAGATCATGTTTAATGTCTATGTCACTCCTATGCCGGTAGTTGTTGGGAGCACTAAGCTCGAAGTTGTTGACGAGTACGTTTACCTGGAACAAATATTCCGACTAGGTAAGTCCAACTTCGCCCGGGAGGTCAATCGATGGATTCAACTCGGCTGGGGGAGCGTTCGGGAAATTACGACTCGTCAGGTATACCTCAAAACCTGAAAACTACAATTTAGTTTTCAGGTTTTGGGATTGAACTATATTGTACAATCAGTGCGTGTTGCCAGTGATGACATAGGGAACTAAGACGTGGTCCTTCACTGCTGGCCGTATGAGGACGCTCAAAGTCGCTCAGCGAGCTATGACTCATTTGATGGTAATTAATTAACTCAAAACAGCTGCAAAACCGAAGGAAATGCTGGTGCGATTCCAGTCTTTGACGAAGTAGTAATTTCCTTTCTTACTTGAAGGTCCCTAAGTCGTGACGGCCCGGAAAAACATCAGGCGATAATGAACTCTACGATGTGGTCGTGCGTCACAGAAAATTCCTAAACGAAACGTACTGTGGTGGATCATCTAGACTAGATGATGAGAATGGAATTTAGAGCTATACGACCGAAACGATGTACGACGGCGGAACTTAGCGGTTAGTATTAATTATATATATATATATATATATATATATATATATATATATATATATATATATATATATTAATTAGATATATATATATATATAAATGTATAATGTATTATATATATGTACATTATACATTCTTGTGATTTGTATAAACACTTGTACAAGTTTCACAATATTTATTTTAAATTATTAAATTAACCCGTGTAATGAGCATTTTTGGCTATAAATAATGTTATTATGAAACTCGTACAAGTGTTTATCCAAATCACAAAAATGATGCTTTAGTTTCACCATGTGATAACAATCGCAAGTATAAAATCATTCTTCGGGACACTCTCGTGGTGCCATAGAAACTGCAAAGAGATGTAACGTTTCTTCGCGAGGCTAGTGGATATAAGAATCGGAAAGAACTCGGTCGTCGACAATTCTTATTCAATAATACATGCGATCAAGTGAAAGAAGCTAGTGCGGAGGTGCTTCGGCCTATAGATGAGAAAAGTATTCCAAATGAGATCTAATGCGCCTTGTAAAGTTGCAAGTGAAGAGCCGGAAAAATTAATTTCCGCGCAACGCGATATGGAATTAATTGCCTGGAAGAAAGAGGTGACAAGTTATTAGTCATTGGTCGTTCCCCGTAATTCCCAAACTAAAGTTAAAGTTGCAGCGTATATACGTCCCACTGCTGGGCACAGGCCTCCTCTCATTTCTGAGAGGGTTTTAGGGCAAGGAATAGTCCGCCGCGCTGCCCCAATGCGTGTTGGCGAACTTCACTTGTCTGAAATATTTTTTTTCTTATTTATAGACATGCAGGTTTCCTCACGATGTTTTCCTTTACCGCCGAGCACGTGGTAAATCAGCACTTAAAATTGCAACAATTTCATTGGTGCCCGTCGGGGATTGAATCCGGTTTGCTCGCGTATTGTGAAATTTACAGCGAGCGCTACCCATCTGAGCTACCACGGCTCATTTCCAAAGTAAGGTGCTCTTCAAAATACAAATAATTTTTTTATATAATAGGAGTGACAAGCGAGCTCACAGTCCACCTGATGGTAAGTGGATGCTGTGTCCCATAGACTATCTACATTTAACCTCGATTAAGGCCGAATACGACGTGAATGACCTTGCTCGTTTCACAGCAAACCACGCGCCGCCAGTACCTACGTTTTGTTTATATAGACATGTATAATACCTATAATCAAAGCCGTACGGGCTTTGATTATATTTGACGGAGCTAGCTCAGATGCAGAGTAATGTACAACACAGAGAGCATTGCTTACTTCGTAAATAAATTTTTCTTATTTATAATATTAGTTCCTATGGATTATAAATTCTGTACTTTATTCGTTATAAAATATTGTTCGAAAAGTTATTGAATTGATAACGATTTTTTTTCTTAATTGGTGCATCGGACGTTAAGAACCTCATATAACTGAAAATGTTTGTTCTTGTGAGTCTTACAAGATGAGAATAATAAAGAAAAAAAACTAAAAAAGTCGGTGATTGCCCCATAGTGGGGATAGGTACTGTGTATGTAAATTCTCACAAGACTACTCCGGCTGGTCAATCACTTCACATCCGAAGTAATTCGGTTTTTCTTAATTATGTACTTTTACCCCATGCTTTCGGACAATACATTGACTGACATTATTTGCAGTCTCTGTGCTTGCACTACTCTGTACATTCTTTTCTGACTGGGTCTTGTATTTTACATTTTTAGTGTTTCTCACTTGAAACTAGAAAAGTATAAATGATCAGTTTGGCTAATGTAAATGAGTAAAAATGCAACCTATTAGGCAGCCTCATACAAAAAATTACCTTACAAAAATATAAGTATTAACCTCAAAACACAACATTCGAGCAGCGTTCATGCCATAAACTCTCTTTGTTTTACCACTTAGGTAACATTTATTTCTTTTCCTACCCATATTTACATTTATAGACACTTAAACGCGTATAAAACAATAAATTAACGATTTTCGCTACAGACACATCGACTGTTGTTATCTTACGTCACACGTCGAAGCGCCTGGTAATTTATTACGGCAAACTTTTATCTGGCAATATACGGTATTATTATTAGGTGTTTTTAATTAAAACGAATTATGTTAATAAATAATATTTTGTATCGAAAATAAATATAGCAGGTACCTTGTGAAACACAATACAAACATTTTTACGTAAAAGAATTTTTCCTAAATTAAAATTCACAGAGTTTTGGAAGAACAATAATTTTATATACCATTTCTTAACATTTTTTTATTTGTTGGTATATTCATTTATTTTAAAATTTTAAAATTACGGTGAC